AAATTAAATCAAAAGGTATAAATGTCCTGTTACAAAATAAATAAGTCCTGGGGATACAGTGTACAGCTTGGTAACTACAGTTAACAATACTGTCTTTTAAAGTTGCTAAGAGAGTAGATCTTAAAAGTTCTTATCATGAGGAAAAGAATTGTAACTGTGTGGTGAGGGGTGTTAACTAGACTTATTGTGATCGTTTTATAATATATTCAAATATCAAATCACTATGTTGTATACCTGAACCTAATATAATGTTATATTGTCAAATATACATATAAAATGAAGCACTTCCAAGCAAGCAGTGATTTTGAAAAGACATTTAGAATGTAGTAAAAAGTGCGGAATTTATGGATGGGATGGGCATACCTATTAAGACCATTTGTCATTATCTGGAAGTGGTTAGGACAGAAAGGCTGAGCTCTGGACACACGGTCTGTTGGGAAATCTGGGTTTCCTTGGGCACCAGGTTGCCTGACCAAGGACATTACCTTTCAGAGGCCACAGGCTGGCAGCAGTGAGGCTGCTTCCAGCCTAAATATGCGATGCCTCCCCTCTCACCCATCAAACCTCACATTACACAGAAAACAACTGTTGTTGTTCATTTCTGCTCTTGTGCAATGCTATACAACATTTGAGTCTCGCGGGTCTGCAGATGTCCATCTATGTATCAACATCGCATTGCAATGTGGGAGGTGAGGTGGGTGAACTCATGGACTCTGTCACCAGGCTGCCTAGGGTTCAGATTCTGCCTCTATGACTTATTGGGATGTAGGTACTGCGGGATTATAGCATGCCGACATCAAAGGACTGCTGCGAGAAACAAAGTAATGCATGTGAAGCATTCAGCATGGAGCCTTGGGGTAAGTACTCAATAATGCCTACATGTTGTTATGATCTATTACATACATCTTAGATCAGTACTTCCTAAAGAGGGTCCCAAGCTTAGTTTCAGGGGCAGTACTTTACCTCATGATCTATTAAAAACACACATACATTTAATAATAATAATAATAATAATAATAATAATTAATAATAATAATTAATAATACAAATAATGACCATGCTTATACAGTGCTTACTATAAAGACACTTCAGTTGTTTCCATGTCTTAGCCAGTGTAAATAATACTCCTATGAACACAGGCTGCATATATCTTTGCAAAAAATGTTTTCAAAATTTTCAGGCAGATACCCAGACAAGGGGTTGCTGGGTCATATAATAATTATTCTTAATTTTTTGAGGAGCCTCTATATTGTTTCCCACAGTGGCTATTCTAGTTTGTATTCCCACCAGCAGAGGATGAGGGTTCCTTTTTCTCCACAACCTCTTCAATATTTGTTATTACTTGTCTTGCTGATGACAAGCATTCTAACAGGTGTGAAGTAATATCTCCTTGTAATTATGATTTGCATTTCCCTAATAGCTAGTGAAGTTGAGCATCTTTTCATATATCTGTTGCCATCTGTGGTACATATATAAAATAGAATACTACTCAGTCATATGAAAAGATGAAATACTGCCATTCATGACAACATGGGTGAATCTTGAGATTATCATGGTAAGGAAAATTAAATCAGACAGAAAAAGTAAAAAACTGTATGATTTCATTATGTGGGATATAAAACTGAAAGCAACAAATGAATAATCAAGAAAAACAAATAACTCATAGGCACAGACAACAGTATGGTAGTTTCCAGAGGCAAGGGGGGTAGAAGATAGTAAAGGGTAAAGGGAGCTAAATACATGGTGACAGAAGACAATTTGACTTTGGGTGGTGGGCACACAGCATACAGATGATATATCACAGAAATGTGCACTCGAAACCTATATAATCTTATTAAACATGTCACCCCAATAAATTTAATTTTTAAAATGCTAATCCTAACCTGTTAAATTGACTTCATGACCCAAGACACATAGTTTGAAAAATACTGTATAAAAAAAATAGAAAACATTTAATAATAGAAAAGTTAATTAGGTCTATGTATCTCTTTTTACCATGCTATTATGCATTGTAAATTTACACACATACACACACACAAGTGGGATGGGGTTTTTTGGCATTCCTTTTTATAACAACAGGATTACAGAGTCAAATTTTCCTCATTCCTGATTCTATCAATGTCAAGTTCCACTTTCTTCTAAGGAATATTGCAATCAAGTGTGTTATCTCTGCAGGAGATGGTGGAGAGAATTTAGAGCTGCATCATTCAGTACAGTAGCCACTGGCTCTCGTGGCTATTTAAATTAATTAAAATTAAATAAAAAATGAAAAGTCAGTTCTTCAACTGCACTAGACATTTTCAAGTGCTTAATGGGCAGCCGCACATGGCTCTTGGCTGCCATGCTGGGCCAACTATAGAACATTTCCATCATTGCAGAAAGTGTATTGGAGAGCGCTGACCTAGAGAAAGGACATTTACAGATGCTAAAAACAAAACTGTTCATGTCTCATTTGGTAAAAGAGTTCCAAGCCCTATCTAGCAGAACTGGCTTGATTTTGAATACTGTATAGTTGAATTTAAAGGCTACTGCCAAAGATTCCATTGTTATCTCAAAATATCATTCTGACCAACCTGTCTAAAAATCTCTTTGCTTCAACTTTCCATTGCCACATGTTGTCTTTCAAAATCCAAGCATGCCAAGGAAATGATTATTGGATGATCACAATAACTTGTTAAAGTTCTACTAACTTAATTTGAAAGTGCTTAGAGCAATTTATCAAAAAACATAAAAATATGTGGAATCATCAGCTTCAAGAATAAAAGTTTACAGTTAAAATAAATAGGGACCCTTTTCTGTTATCATTAGGATAAAGAAAATATTACACACCTAGGCCTGTCCCTAACCTTTTCATAAACTTAGACTCAGATTGAACAATGTCTGGTCTTTGTATCACATTTTGAGAACTTGAGTACATATCTCATTTGAGCCGCGGAGAACCTAATCACCACTATCATGTGGATTCTGAGCGCTGTAGATCCTTCTTGTGAAGGGGAAGACTGAGGGGGAATATAGTATCTTGTCTCTGTCTGTCTTGCTTCTCTGGTTACTGAACTGATCACAAGTGGCCAGATTGTAGAGAAACCACGTAGCTAAGATATGGGCCAACTAGTTTTCCTTCTGTCATGATTCCAGGTGCCCTGCAAATCTGGCCACTGTACTGCAGTGCTGTGCCTAGGTCACGGGAGAAACAAAGCAGGAGGACAGACAAGAGTGTAAAAACCCCCCACAAAGATGTTGTAAGAACAACTGTGATAGTTCTACAACAACAATTTTTCAAGCTTTTTCATTTCATGGCACACATTAACTACTAAAATTCTGCAGCACACCAGAAATTATATTATGTTTTTTTGCCAATCAAAGAAAATAGGTATAGTTTTGATTCATTCACACCAGACAGCTATTGTGTTGGCTGTTGTCATTTTTTAATTTGACAATCTATGGGAAAAGAGGTCAGTGCCCTGTCTAAATAGTCAGGTACTGCATGTTTTAAAAATCCTTGCAGCACACTGGCTGAAAATGACTGGTCTACAACAAAGCCTAACATCAGGCCATCAGGCCACTAGGCATTATTATGTTCATGCCAAAAAAATTATGCCACAGAGCAAATCTTGTCTGCAAAGCAACCTGTGAAAGGCATTTGATGTGAAATATCTGAATTAACCAATTGTTATAAAGACACTTTAATGTTGATGTAAATAATTCAAACAGATTGGCTTTGGCTACTGGCAGATATAATAAATGTGCATTTTACAAGTATTTAATTTTTGTTCAGTGTCGTAACATCTGCCATCTAGTCATTATTGTTAGCAAAACTTACTCAGTTTTTTATTTCCATGTGCAGTTTTTTTAGTTCCAACTTGGGGAGCTTGCAAGACATCTATTAAATGTGTATAAGCAAAGGACACACCACTAAAATTCCTATGCTTGTATGCCTTGAAGATTACATTTCCAGCTCATTAAGAGATGACAGCTATAGTTAATCTTGGAAACATGATGTCTTTAGGGACACATAGAAGAAAAAAAAGTTTGGGATTTAATGCACAAAAGCTGAGACTCCAAGATTCTTTGACCTGCAAATATCACATATATGAGCCTAACAATTTTTCTTTGAAAATTTTAAGTAGGTCGACTTATTAACTGTTACCATGGAGTTTATACATCCACATTTGCCTAGCCTTTTGATGAACTTCAGCCCAGAATGGAATCACAGCCCTGCATTATTAAAAATCTGCCTTTGATTCAAGCAGAGAAATGAAGAGCACAAACTAACATTACCCTTTAGGTTTGTTATTGTAATAGGCCCAATAACTTGTTTTTGAAGCATTTATAGTAATTTATTATCAACTGAGTAATAAGCAGCTATATAAACAGTTAGGAAACTCTTTAAGCATTAACATGGAAAATTCTCCAAAATATATTTAAAGTGAAAAATGAGGTGCAAGATAGATCCAAGAACTTTAAAAAGCAAAGCAAAACATATTATTTGATATATTTGGTTCCCGAACAGGACTGTATGTCAGAATGGGTTCACTCAACAAGGGGGGCTTCCATCCCAACTGGGCTATGTTCTCATATTCATAGTCACAATCTTGGCTCAGCTGTGAAAGAAGATCTGGACAGAATAAACCTGACCAAAAAAACCAGTGAAGCGTTTGGCGATATAATAAAGTGCAGTGGAGGTAGGGGTGGACGGACGAGAGGGGGTGAGTAGAGAAAAGGAATATGAATTAAAAGTGGGGAAACCCTCTCATCCTCTACTGATTTATTTGAGGAGAAAAACCACTAAACAAGGGCTCTCTCCATAATACAAGCTAATCACTTTTTTTAATTATTGCAACGGATGCCCCAAAACAGCCGTGGTAACCCCCCACCGCCGTTTCCCCAGAGAAACCGAAAATCCCGTTTCTTTCCCAGTGCGCGCCCAAGGAGGGGGGTGGGGGGAGCAAGACTGTGCATTTAGAGTGGAGGGCGGTGGACAGGGCAAGGCAAGTTGGTACCTTCTTCCCGAGATCCCTGCTCCTTGAGCCAGCCTGACTTGGGTAACGGTAAAGTGAACCGTGAATGGCAGTGAGGCTGGGAGGCCAAACTTGGGGTCGCTTCTGACCAGAGTCCACGCGACAACAAAAGGCCTGGGTATCTGGCTGGGGCGGCGGGTGAGGGCACCTGTCAAAGGACAAGACTGGAGCAGCAGCCGGTGGGCGGCGCAGGGGATCGGCTGCCGCCAATGCGGCGTCGCCCGCCCGGCGCTGAGTCCGAGGTGGAGCGTCCACAGGGACTCTGGGACGCCGCCCGGTACATGCGCCTGGCTCCGGGCGTTTGCTCACAGGGGCTCGGGTGGGAGGCCCAGCACCCGGGGCTCTATGGGGAGGAAGCAGGAACTCGGCAGGGCCCCGCTGCCCGGAGGACCCCGGTGTCCGAACCCAGCTGCCGCGCCCTCAGCCCCCGGTCTCCGTCTCCGGGCTGGGCGCGGAGCTGGGCCCGACGCCCCCTGGCTGCCCGGCGGGCAGGGGCAGAGAACAGGACGCCGCGAGCATTGCGCCTACCTGTTCCGGTGTGGCAGCGCCGCAGTCGCCTCGCGGGGCCCTGACCTGCGGTGGTGGCGGCTGCAGTCTTGGCGCGCAGGGCGCTTCTTTCAGGAAGGGGTGGGATTTGCCCGCCTGCCAAACCGCGGCCCGCCCCCGACTTATTCTGGGGTCCCTGCTGCGAGGCCTCCAGGAGAGAGCTGAGCCCTCCGGGCCTCAGCTTCTACCATCCCTTAGGGTCCCTAATAGTTACCGGGGCTGGATCCCAGTGCCGACAATCGAACCGCTTCTTTCTAAAGCCTTTATGGACGCGTTTGCCTGGCGCACCTCATCCAACAAAAGAAAGGACGGAATTGAGGGATTCTCCTCCTGGTGGTTATTTATTCCCGAATAGTGGTAACCTTCTGACTGGTTCACTCTGTCCACACACCTAGGGGTTTTGCACACAGCAGCTAAGATTAATTTTTATGCCCACCGGCAGATGTAGCTCTCTGTCACTCAGCACTCTCCCGCGATTTTCTCTCACCGTAAAGAACAAACACAGGGCCAACTTATGACCCTGGCAATAAAGAGCAGACTCCAAGCCTACTACCTCCAATCCCCCCACTCCCCCTCCCCGTAATAGCTTGCTGTCTTCCTCCCAGAGACTCCTCCGGATCTGTTTCAAAACTGTATTCATCACCATTTTAATAGCTTCCCCACCCAAGACCCCCACCTACCAGTGGCACCATGTCAATGATCTCCAGCAGCGTCTGGGTCAGTGCCATTTTTGTCACAGGCTCACCATTAACTCCTATTTCAAACGTAGCCTTAGGGGGCTCCCACACACCATAGGTCATCCTTTATCAAATTGCCTTAGTCAGACTGACCTCCGTTCTTTTGGGGGCCTCTGTACCACACCTGTCTCATTAATATGTTGCCTCTCGAAGCAGACGATTCAAATTCTCCATTAGAGAACTCTTCCCTTCCCTCACACTCCTGTGATTATTATCTACCTTGTTACTGTTTTCTCCTGGCTTCTACACTGAGCTTCTTGAGGCCAGATACTGGCTTCTCGTGTTTTCCTTACCTTAACAAATGGGACTGTTATCCATTCAGTTCAAATAGCAAGAAGAGAAACTTAATTCTAATCCAGAATCCCCTGAAAGTATGTGCTAACTTTTGTGGAGGTTAGCCTATGTGTATTTTTCAGAGTGTAACTATAGCTTTCACCAGACTCTCAAAGTGATCTGTGAATTTCTCAAAATTAAGACTTGCTTGAAGCCTATCTGTGAATGAACCCCAGCTCTGACGTGACACCCCTCCCACCCCCACCACTCCCTTTCCTCTGCATCAATTTCTCTGTGCTGAATGAAGAAACCCTCCACCCAGACCTTCCAATTCACTCTGTTAAAACTTCTGAATCCATTCAAATAGTTCTGGTTTGTCTCAACTGCCTGCACATCAGAATCACTGGAGTGGAGGGAGGGGTGCTTTAAAACAATGCAAGTGCCTGGGTCCACCTCAGGCTCCCCAGTCAGAACCTGGAGTGGGGTGGAGGGCGGCCAGGAGGAGTGGTGGGGCCAGTACACGGGTATTTTTACAAATAGCCACAGGTCATTCTGACATGCAGGTGCCTAAAGCACTGCCTTTCATGGGAATAGGATCCCTGATTGGTAAAATGTCGGTACTTTCCCCACTATGGAAGGACTGAAAGTCCTTGCACTATTTTAGTTTATTTGAACATTTTCATTTTCACTTAGAGCCAGGCTCACTTTTGCTTAAGAAACCAACTTGAATTTGTGAGGATAGCAAGCCCAGTGCCATTTGTCAGTAGCACTAAATTACTGCCACTTTCATCTCCAAAATGTTATCTTAATAAACCCAAAGAGTGAAATAAATTACATTCCTGACAGTAATATTGACAGCTGAAATATTATGTTAAAATGTTGGCCTGAAGGAGAGTTGGTTGCTATACGCAGACTCTGTTAATGTCATGAGAATTTTAGTGAAGCTTCAAGAGAACTGAAGACAAAACATAAATTTAACTGTGCTTTTTTATCTTTGTTTTGTTGGTCTTGATATCCCACCCACTAAAATTTGTCCACTGTATATTCAATATGACCTTAGATATTTTAAATCATGTATAGGTATAAAATTAAAATACTATTGCAGCACTAGATGTCTTTTTAAAAAGTGTGTATAAAGATTCATCCTGTATTCTTAAATTATCTGTTGACAGTATTCCAAAATGCTTCAGAATGTGAGGAAAGGGCCAGCTACAGAACTAACAGCGTTTAGGGCCTGAAGATGGAGGCCAGCCACAACTACCTGGGGTAGGATGGAGAACGATACGCAGGGACAGAACCATGCCACAGGACCCCAGTGAGGCACCGTGATTCTGACACCATGTTGCTCTACCAACTCTGCTGACCCAACTCTGGTGAATAGCACAGGCACTCATCCATCTGAGGAGGGGGGGTGACAGTGTTTTTGATGTAAGTGAACTATCTAACTGAAACAACTACAGACCATTTAGAATTACAAGGAAATTGTATGTACCCACTCATTTCCTTTCTTTTGGGCAGCCAATTTGCTGTTGTTGATGATTCAAATCCCTTTCTTACTCAATTGGAAAACCAGACTTGAGAAGCACAACTCGTAAATGAGACTCCCAGGATTCTGGGAGTCCCTACCGCTGCTCAAAATGCAACGACTGTAGTTATAATAAAATTCTCTGTAAAGCAGTTATTGCCAACCCTTCTGTAACCACTGATAATTCAAGTCTTCTCTGATAAAAAACAAAGTTCATTGAAATTACATTTGATCTTGACCAACATCTACCTATTAAAGAAAACCTTGTAGAGGTAATTTGAAAGAGAATATATTTGGTTACAGGATGTCCAATGGGAGCTATTATTTAGTTTTTATTTTATTGGAGGCTCCACATGATAGTTGTCCATCACTCTTATAAGATGTAGGTCTTATAAAGTAGTGTTCCCTTAACCACTCACTTACCTTGAAGGTATAAGAGGTTTGAAGTGAAGGCTGAGGAGACTACTGTGGATTAGAGAATGATTTCTATAGCAGAGCTATAGGTGTTCTAAGAGGCCCCTCCTTTGTATCCTTCCCGTGCCCTCCATCCGTGGTGGGGGGTGGCAGAGGGCGAAGAGGGCTTTACTCTCACCTTAAGTCTGATGAGAGGCACTTTGGACAGACCTCTCAGAGAGATCAGGATGTGTCCCCCACAGTTTGGGGAACACCGTGGACTGGTGTCTACCTCATGCCTGAGAAATCTAAGGGTCCAGAGTTGATGAAAGTGGCCTGAACACAGGGTAGGAACTATGATGAGGAAGCAATTTACTCCCACAGAAGACAAGCCTAAGAGAATGAGACAGACAGTGTGGGCTTGACTTTGATCCTACCGAAGAGGACTGGTTGGAAAGTAAAGACACCTCAGCACAAAGAAACCAGAGGTTGGCCTTCAGAAGCCCAGGCCCCAGGGTGGGGTGGAGGAGAATCTAAGGCAACCAGTTAGAGGCTAAATGAACTTGCTTGCCTGAGCCAAGGAAATGGGTAGTGAGACACTCCCCAGCAGTGGTTCTGACAAACCCATAAAAATGCCCGTGAGAGAAAGTGTCAACTGGAAAATCTGTCATGGCCAGAAGAAGCTGTGCCAGCTAGAGCTGCCCAGGGCCTTTTTGCCTCCTCTTCCCCACTTTAATCCTGGAGGATTTGGGTGGCCTAGTGAGTGTGGTAGAAGGGGAGGAGATTCAGGCTGGGAGAAATACGGAGGAAGCCTGCCATTACTTCCCTTTGCCACTGAACTATGGAGTTTTTATTGTTATGCTGCTCCTCACATATTAATTACTGATGTAAGAAAGTAACCAGCAGCCTTTTTATTATTTAAGAGTGACCCAAATAAGTTATGGGGCCTATGCATTAATTCATCCAAGGGGCAGGAAAACAACTAGCCCCACTGAGTAGGTTTGAACAGACCTGACAGGAGAGAATAAATCTGTGTTCTGATTATACCATGAGTCTCACTGGGTCAATATTTCAGCTATACATTCAAATATAATGCATTCTATATTATATCTTACAACTTCTGAGAGTGTCTCATTCTGTCTTCTTACTTGATTTACAAGTAAGTAATATGTATCAAGAAACATTGTTCATGTATATATAAACTATAACTTAAGCTTTCTAGTAAGAAAGTTGGAAGTAAGTGTTCTGGATTGAAAGATCCAAATGGATCCTGTAATGAAGATGATAATATCCCAACTGCCATCGATAAAATAGGAATCTTACAGATGATGTAACTGGAGAACAGAAAACAACTTTATAGGGTGTTTGAGAGCATTAACTATGATAATATTTGGAGTGCTTATCACAGAGCCTGATATTTACAAATAGTAAACAATTACTATTAATATGAAAAAATAAAAAGAAAATAAAAGATCCAAATGAAACTAAATGTTGGCTTAAACTTATATTAAATAGCTGCCACAGTTTCCTCATCTCTACAGGGTAGGATTAGAGAAAAGGTCTTTTTCAGTTAGAAAATTCTGTTTTGAAAAGGCAACAGCCACAGATAGCATGTTCCAATTAAAGAC